GTGTGCCGCTGTCAAAACGACATTGGGGGCGATAAGACTACCGCCGCACTCGGTCGTATCATTGGACGACCTCTTGAGCCCAACCACATAACGGTGCTGGCCGAATTGGGCTTCCTGGCCCCCGAGGATTTCGAAACCGTCCTCTGAGGCCTCATCGCCCCAAGTGACTTTGGCTGGGACAACTTGGTCTTGAGCCAAGGCAGTGACGACCACGGTGAAAGCGAGGAGTGCGAACTTCATGATGGAAATTGGAAAATGAATGGTCTTTCACCTAGAGCCAAGTCAATCCAATCGTTAACGTCAGACTGTGATTGCACTACCCAAGTACCAAGGTTTAAACAAATGGACGGTTGGGATGCGTACAACATACATACATCCAGCTCTTGTCATTAATCCGCTAGGATGGACGAGTCATCGTTTGCGTTATCCAACCAGGTGGCCGACATTCTTGCCAGAAAAACCCGCTAATGTGTCGCACTCTCAAAGGATGAAGAGTCCACAGTAAAGTAACACTTACAGTACAGTGGATTGATACACTGTGCGGCATACGTAGATCACCTTTGGCATCCTAAATAGTAAGAAAAACCCGCTACTTTATCGCACTTTCAAAGGATGAAGGAACCACATTAACTGTAAACTACTCCGGAGTAACACTTGCAATACGATGGATTGATACACTGCGCGACATCCGATCGTACTATAAGGAGGCAAGCGTATGCGGATAGTACGGGCTAACCATGAAAAACAGACCAGAAAGCGGGAAAACGCGAAGGATTTACGGAAAACCGGACCGTAGTACTTCAACTATCCAGCATATGGGTTGAACAGATGGCTTTGTAAGTGGCCTCTGCAGATTCACACTAGATGGTTTTGGGAAATGCAAAATGTGAGGAATACTTTTTTTAGAGAAATGCCCAAAAATAACCCCTCAAGCGTAATAAGTCAGGTAGTCACCATTTATGTAGATATCTTTCGTCGTCCACGACATTTAACCCGACAACTTTATGATTGGTTAAAAATGTATTCCCAGAGTGTAATTTTGATTGGCCGAGCTGTGAGGCTTCTCCAACAACCTCATTTCACAAAAAACCAAGATCCCAACACTTCATTGCAATCGTCCCTTGCGCTTTCGCTTGCGGACTTCAGACAAGGTATTGCTGTAAGAGCTGGTATGACCTACATATGCAGCTTCAAACATCTCATAACTAACATACTTTGAAAAGGCAAGCGACAAGGTCAAGCGCTCAGAATACTTCCGGCGGTCGGCCCGGATCATTTGTTTGTTGAACGATCGCAGGGGTTGATACAACCCGACCGCCGGGTCTCCGGTAAACCATTGTGTCCAAGCTTCGTTCGCCGACCGTGCAGTAGGTACAACAGCGTGCGAAACGAAGCTGTCCAGCGTTATTTGACGTTGCGACTTCGCAGCCACTGGCGGTGGCAGTGTGCGGGCGACATCGGCGGCGACGACAGCGGCAGGTAAAACATGCACGTTGTTTTGGAGGGACTTGACAATTGCGTTGCAGAGGTCTTGTACGTTCATTTCGGCGACGGTTGAGTTGCTGGTGTTTGTGTTGGTGCGTAGTAGATTTCTCGGGTCGATTTCGTTTGTAATGCTGCGTGTAATAAGATATTCACAACATGTCTTTGCATCTTCCCATCGGCACCATGCCATGAGCTCTCTGAAATTGAACCGATGCTCTGGAGACTCGAACACTCGGTAATAACTTCCTCCACGACGCATGCTGTGCAACGTAATTCCTAAAAAATATTATAAACTAGTGCCAGTTGAAAAATTAAATATGTGAGCAAAAAATACCTGAAGGAAGTTCGGAGCACTTTTCAACTGCACTTTTAATGAACAGACGGACTTGATTTTGATCAAGACGTTTGTACCAGTTGAGTCTTGGGGTCCCAGACGATTCGAGTGTGTAGGCAGGAAAAACAAACGACTTGGAGGCTAAATTCGGACTGGCCCGATTGACGAGGCCCACATAATCTGAAAACAACCCACACACACGCAAGCACGTAAACGACTTCTCGTCAACGAGATGGTAGATTTGGGAGTCACTTTGTACACTGGCCATTTTGTGCCAACGAAGTCGAAGCGATACATACTGGCTGTCGCCATCGTGTTGGAGGGCGACGTCGTCCCACGTCAGGTTTAGCATTTCGCTGATGCGAAAACAGCCAATGTAGCTCGCGCAGAGAAGGAACCGGTATAGTGCCCCGACAAACATGTGGGACGAGGCCAGTGAGTTTTCGAGCAACGACAGCTCGTACACCGACAGTGGATGGGCCTTTTTTACGTCGTCGATGTTGTTTTTTTGTTGCATTTTTGCAAACCAACAACGTATTGCTTGGACTCAACGTCCCGGGCAGGGTTTGGGTCGACTTTTAGTGCTTGGAAATAGGCGACTAGCGCGGTCTTGGCGGAGTCGACGGTACGGGCAGTCTTGCCGAGGCTGTAGAGGTGGTGAAAAAAGTCCGTGCATGCCCCTGGTGTCGCGCCGGCAGGGTCGATTGCGAGGACATCCTTACAGAACTTGGCAAACTGGTTTTGATAGGTCTGGTAGGTTCGCAAGGTCGACTTCGATCGGAAGGAACCTTGGATGGTTGCTTAGGGGGCACGGTGGTTGCGTTCATGATGCTGAATTTCTTTTGTTCTAGGGGTTGATGAAACGTGGCTGTATTTTCAGACGACATCTACGAATTAACGTCCAAACATTGGGCGTACATGTTTAATGTTGGAGTTATGTTCTTCCCCGACATGTGGGTCGTCCAATCAACGATCTCAATTGAAACATGTTGTCGTTCAGCGAATCACGACAAAGTAATTGTCGGGATTGCCAATCCAAACTCACGATTTGTCGGTTCCCAGGTATATGTAATATTAAAGGTTTTGCTTTGGCAGAACCCCGAAACGCCAGGATCGAACACCGCTGCACGTACGGCCTCAATACGCCTCGATACGTGCATGCAGCGGTAGTCGATACAGGGCACACTTTGTCCACCGCCAAAGTAATCGTGTCCACCTCCTGATCCGTATCAACCACACAAAGTGCCACAACCAAACAACATTATCGTTATCGACGGTACCATCCGTTATACTAAATCCGTATTCGTCGTCCATTCCTTGCCACGGTCGATTGTGCAGGTTCCTTTTTCGTCGATGCTGCAGGTACCAACATAGGTCGATTGCTCGGGTTCATGGCGTGGCGGTCGACGGCATCTGGCTTGCAGCGTCGTTTCATGGGACATGGCCTGAGACTGTTTGCATGTGAGATGCGGCAGTCGATAGCGTAGTTATACCGTGTCCGGGAGTGATTCATGACGTCTACCGCTTAATACAGACGCTACAAACATCAAAAGCGCAACCGATGGTGACTTACCACGCAACATTCGTCACAGAGGGCGACGCCACAGTATGACGTAATACCATTTCTCGCCGCAGCCACCAGAGACAGCCCAAAGACACTCGCCTCCCCTCAAACGCCAGAGAACACAGTACGGCACATGCCATTATACCGGGTTTACGGTGTTTGCAGCGATCGTTGGAGTAGTGTTGGTGGTGCGTGCTCTTCGGTGGGAATCACCGCAGGGCAAACACAACCGACACGACTCCAACGAACGCTGCAAACACCGTCGACAACGTGAGCTTCTGCCGATCCGCAAGTCGTCTCGGTTGCGTGTATCCTTCGGTCAACGGAGTCTCACCACAGGGCGTACGCCACCACGAACGATGCCACCCAAGTAGCATTCACCATCGACAGCCTAGAATCTGTTCATGTTGTGGTCGTCTGTGGTGGGTGTGACGTTCAGCGTTTAGTGGAATCTCCGCCGGCGTTTTCAGCGTTCTGTGGCTGCATTCTCAGTGGCAGAGGCCCTGCGGTGAGACTATGTTTACCACTGAAGGACACACACGACTGAGACGACTCCAACGAACTGAGTTGACGCCATGGACCGCCAAAAGTGACTCATCCCAGACCGCTGCAGTCACCAGGGAAAGCTTCAATGTATTGCCTTGTAACTGGGTACCCTACATGACATCCCAAACCAGTATCTCGCCGCAATCACGATTTATACGTTTGGCGGGATCTATTTCATTTTTTAGTAGTGCTGTGGTGGGTCTTGTGGGAAGACCCACGACATGACGACCCACCGCAATCTGTCACGGGGTGAAAGAAAGCGACTTTCTTTCGACGTTTCCCGCTAACCGTCGTGTCTCCGGTTACCGGATCATCGTCCCACTGTAACTCTGGGACTAATCTGGTCGAACCCGTTACTCCCGGAACCAGCAATAGCCAGATCCCCGATCTTCCCACAATGTTCTGGTGACTCTTTGAACCTCGGAACGACGCCTCCGCTTAGATAGCTAACCTTGACTTTTACTTTTGACTTACTCTACACGCTTGTGCCTTGTGTTCGCTCGCTCGCGCCGCGCCTACCTTCGTCAAATAGTTACAAACCCCGTGACATTCTGGTGGAGCAGCAGGGTAGGCGTTTGCAAAAGGAGCGAAAAAAGAGTGAGGAAGATGTCAACGGACGAACAACCAACTTCGACGATACGCCAGTCGCGGCGCCTTGCGGGAGTTGCCCCGGAATACGGGCTACTGGACACAAGACGCTTGACGCGCCAGTCTTCGACCCCAGAACCGGTGCAACTAGACGACCACGTCGATCTGCCAACATCGTCCCCGGAACGCAAGCGAGAAGCCGAAGGCTCTCCACATGTATCGCCGTCGACGAACAGCCCCGACTCGCGTCCCCCACCGAAGAAACCAGCATTGGCCCCGGGTGCTGACTTGGCTCCTGAGCCTTTGTCACCCCATGCCAGGATTGGTATCGATGGTTGGGGGACTCCCTTGACAAAACACCAGTAAGCCTATTGGAGCCTAGTTCAGCTACCGGAAACACCCCCATGGTCCAAGGGGTGCCCGGCAGCATGGTTCCAAGAACGCTTACGCCTACCTGGGACGATCCCGGTGTACCTCGAAATGTGGTTGTCACTACGATCTCGGTTGCCGGTGGAGGCGCACGTGATAGCCATAACGCTTATGCCGATTTCACGCGCGACATCATCAAGAAACAGGAACTGGAAGCTTTGCGTTTCTTCCAGAAAGCCCATGAAGACCGATCTCGGCTGCTGGACGACCGGGAGACTCGACTCGTGGAAATGGCCGAATCAGCGGCGCAGGCGGCTGAAGCCCATGAAACCTACCGGCAGGAGCAGTTCAAAGAGGCGTTGGGATGCTACCAACGAGAACTGGACCTCGCTAGGTGTGTGGTCGGAAACGAAGCTAACGAAACCCTGAGTCAGGAGATTGGGAGGCAACAAGCTATGTGGGAAGCCCGGATGCTACGCTTCCAGGAGAACCTGGAACTCACTTGGGATAAAGAAAGGTCCTTACTCCTCCAGGACAAGGAAGTCTCGTTGCTCGCTTTGAAGAACCAACACACGGACGAACTTCTACGAGTGTCGACGGAAGCGGAACACACTATCGAGGTCCGACGCCTGGAAGACGGAGGAACTGCCAAGCACAACCACACGTACGAAATCCAGGCCCTTGTGGAAAAAAACTGTCGAAGCCGCGAGGCCCAGGAAACCATCTTGGACAAGTTGCGTTCTCAACAAAACCAAGAGCTGACATCTCTACGGACAGAACTACGGTCGAAGCAACTAGAACTCGACGCCTCCCTGTACTCCTCGGCACGTGAGCCTTCGGAACGGATCTGTGCGAATTGCCCCATCTTTGGAGCGGGAGAAGGATACCCTCACGGAAAGACTCCGAGTCCTGGAAGAACAACTCCGCGAGACTGACCGTCAGAGGGAACGTTTCGAACAACTCTGGGAAAAAGGGCGCCGTCAGCTCCAGGAGTCCGAACAACGTACGCTGGTCTCTCACGAGGCTCTGAACGAGGCAAAGGCCCGGTTTCAGGAAAGTGAAACCCGAGGGTCTCAACTCCAAGAAAAGCTCCTACAAGTTCATACTCGGTACGAACAGGAACTACAAGAGGAGCAGACTCTACGCGAAGAAATGGAAAGGGGTGTCCAAGAACAACTACTGGCGCTAACGTTGGATCGTGACTCGGAGGAATGGCGTGTGGTAACTCAAGAAAGAGAGGAGCTCATGAAGTCGCGGGAAGAACCCGAAGCAATCCTACAAATGGTGTCCGACGCTCAGACACAATTGGGGTTAAACACGACCCTCCTGCGGGAAGAAGAGAAAACCCTCCTCAGGGAAAGGGAAGCTTTCGCTCAGGAAGTCAACAAGTCTTACTCGAACCTCCGTCGGCAACAGTCTTCCTTACAAGTGGATCAGCAAACGGTGGCCTTGCAACTTCAGGAAGGCCGACTCAGATCCGGTTCGGTCGGGACTCCCTACGCGACACCCGCTTCGTCCCGAAAAGGCTCCCCCCTTCGAAGGGGAGTCATTCGACTTTCATGACGTCATCGGTACTCCAGGCCCCCTACTCGATGGCGGGTACACCTCAACGGACCATGGACCCTATCCCGGTGTTTATGCAACAAACCGAGATCGCTACGGAAACCATGTCAATGCCGGTGCCGGCAGGTGTCTACAGCCGTGCTGTGACTTCTCAAAAGCCGTTCATGCCCGAAAGACCAAGGCAACGAGAACCCCCCGAGTACATACCCCAGGACTCGTACGGGATGCGTGGACACAGTAACCCCAGCCCACCTTACTTTACACCGGCCCACGGAGATCGCGGCG